AGATTTTCTCAAAAACGTTTTACCCCGCGTTTGGCATTGCTAGGCATAGATTTTTTGACCGGTAGGAACGTTGGAAATATTGTTTTGGACCACCAAAGAAAAGTCCATGCAAAAATTCTGTTTTCCCATAAGTTTTCCTTAGTGAAGTGCCCTTATTGGTCGTTTTAAAATATTTTTGTCAGTGTTCGATAGTCATGCCAGATGTACTTAAAATGGTGCAACAGATGTCAACATTTATCACCAAAAGTTTATTACCAGCAGTAATCTCTTGCTTAAGTAGTTTACAATCCTCTGGCACTTATGATAATCTGCATACTCTTTGTTACCTTCATTGAATTAAAGCGCAGTTACCAACGAACGTAAAAACGGAGAACGTGTCAGCTGATACGATCTATCTTATGGAATCTGCGTGTTAACAAAAACTCACCAACGCGTGACGTAGAAGTTGACGTACTCTCTCGTTCTATCAACAGCAAACGTGCTATATTTCTACGTACTTCTACGCTAAGCTAGATATGTACGTATACGTGCATGGGTAACCGAGCTCTTAGTGTCATAAATCAAGATTTACCAGTACAAACCGAATTAGTGTATTAGAAAGAGATAGTACACATTTTTGCATAGCCGAAAATTGTTAAATATATCAGCTGTAGCGAGGGCTAAACTTGAGTGAAGTTTATTGCTGACCTAAAAGCGCTGCTTTTAATACCCTAAGGCTCGTTTTTACAGTGACGAGTTAGGTCAGGTAACTATAGGTTTTCAGTACAAAAATTGAAAGTTTACTGCCAAATTTGAGTTAACCTCCACTGTGAAAATGACACTAAATCGTAGTTTCACATGTTGAAAGTAACTTAACCCTTAAATGCCATTAGTATCTTTAAAGATACAGCCATCATAACGGTCCTCATTCCTAAATTTTCTGTCTGAAAGCCGGCGGAAGTATATCTTTACAAAGATAAAGCTTAAGCTGTTAGCTTTGCCTAGAGATGAAGCCGCTCGACGCCACAAGCCAATTATCCATGATATGTGTGATTAACTGGTAAGCTTCTAGAATTCGTAGTAAAAATCTCAATCAATATACACCCCTAGTATTAATTTATATACGATGAGATTTCGTATTAAGGTTTCCACGTGCCCTATAGTCGTATTATTGTGAATGACAGTGGTATTTGTTTACGATTCGTTGTTAATTTACATAAATGAAAGAACTGTTCTTGCCTTTCAAAGCAAACATTTTGAACTTGAAAGTCGCGAAAGTTCCGTAGGCCATAAAAAATTAAGAAAAAACATGTTTCCTTCAACCACAATTGCGTTTTATATAACTTTAAATCAATAAATTGATGAAACTCGCATAGAGGCTACAGTAAGAAGGCAATTGAGAGATGCTTCCAATCTTCTGGATATGAACTCGATAATGTAAGTAACTGGAGTCAATTTTATTTGTTAATTATTAAAACAATCCTTTAGATTTCAGAGAAACTTTCGACTATAGAAAGAAGTTGTTATATATATACATACATATGTTCTAACAGAAGTAGAGGACGAGTTGCGCCCACGTAAAAACGCCATCCATACCAAATATATTAAAGGTTTTCACAATTCTGAGATTCCTTTTAGAAGCAACACGCTCAACTTTATGTTTTGTGCTCGCCATTTTTGGCCTGAAAATTGCAGTATTTTGTTCAAATTAAACAGCTGATACGCTAGGTATCCTATGGTAATACCAAAATTTAACGATATACGATAAACGGTAGCTATCCAATTTCATACGCTAGAATTTAGTTCGTAATACGGCACAACATAATGCAAACGTTTATCGTGTATCGTGTGGATTCACAATAGGGGGGATAATTAAACCGAAATGTAGAATGCCGACCTCATTTTTAGGCGATTCAATTAGTACTTCTTAAATTTTCCCGTTTCTTTAATTTTCGGTTGCAAGCAAGAATAAACTGTCCAGTAATGTTAAATTTAAATATTTTTTTATTTAAAAATTCATGTAATATATTTTAAAAACACTGATCCTTACCAATAAGGCGGAATGATATAAATTCAAAATACACATGTATATACATACATATATTTATACCTATATATTTAATTTTATAGGAAAATATGTGGCTGTGCGATGTATGTATATATAAATAAGAAGAAGGTTTACTTTTAAAATATTGTTGGTTCATCAAAAATTTAAATCGTACCGGAAAATCCCCCAAAAATAACACAATACACTGGTAAATGTTTGTAACCACTCATATTTGCATAAAGATTAAAAATTCAACTTTGGAATTTACCCGTACATGCATCCTAGTAATGCCAGTACATGCTTTTAGGAGACATTAAATATTAAAGACTTGCGGAATTGTTAACTGAGTGCAGGGAAAAACTCGTCAAGAGACTGGGTACGGCGGAGTTAGCCCGCAAATGACATTGGTGAAGTTTGTAAATGGCAATACTGAACGAAAGTCGGAAAAAGCTGCAGCTGAGGGATAAAAAGTTCGAAGGAATTAAAATTGAAAAAAACAGACAAAAAGCCTAACAATAAATACATATGTATGTATGTACATACAGTCAGTGTTATATGTTAGTATACACTTTGTTCTAATATAATATCCACAATTGTTTTCTTGACAGTTTTTTTCTTTTTTTTTTAAACTATAATCTGTTCTATAACATAAACCATATGGATCAAAGTTTCGCACTTTATATAAAGTTCACGAAAATTCATTGTCATTAAAATTTCAAACTTTTTATTCAGAATTTCTAGAAAATTTTCGAGTATGCAGCTGTGTAGCTCATTCAATTTTAGTGAAACAAAGTGATAGTTTCAAGTCGCTAAAAATTATTGTCGATTTTTTGTGGAGGGTGTTGCGCATTTTCTTACATGATTAAAATCTATTTTTATATGGAAGAAAATGCGCAGCACTCTCCGCAAAGAAAATTCTAAAAAATCAACGGTAATTTTTAACAACTTGAAACTTACACTTTGTTGTTATAAAAAGGGAATGGGCTACATACCTGCATACTCGAAAATTCTCTTAAAAATTCTGATTAAAAAGTTTGAAATTTTTATGAAAAGTATGGTATATCTTATAGAATGAACTATATCGCACGTTTACTAGTATAGAGATGTAATTCAAAATTGAAAAAGTAGACGACTTAGGTTATTCGGGAACCAGCAATAACAATAATAATAATGTCAGCCTTGAAATCAAATCCAACCGAGAATCACTCTTGCCAACAAGTGTTGCTTTGGACTGAGTAAGCAATTGAGAAGTAAAGTCCTCTCTTTACGGACTTTCACGCGTTGGCGATGGCGAATACCGCAGACGATTTAGCGATGAGCTGTATGAGCTTTACAACGATATAGACATAATGCGGTGAATTAAAATTCAGCGGCTTCGCTAGCTTGGCCATGTTGTTCGAATGAATGAATGAATGAATTGGCCACCTAACGGGTCATAATCACCTGTGCTCTCACCAGTGTTGCCATTTAGGTGCTTTAGGTGCTTTTGGAGCTAAATTTAGCTCTTTATTTTTCTATTTACTTCCGACAATTGGGATTTAGCTCCTAGCTCTTTTTTAGCTCTTTTCAAATTTATCTAGCACTTCTTTAGCTCCAGAAAGTTTCAGTTGTATTTGACAATATGTTAAAATTAAAAATCTGTAATTTCATTGTACAAGTGTTGACTAAAATTCATTTGGCTTTGGTGATCGCAGGCTATTTTCGATACCTGCATATTATTCTATTTCGATTAATACTTAGAAAAGTTCCATTTTTAATGCAAAGGGCGCGTAAGCAAATGGAAAATGGGCAAGTAGGTCGATTAGTTTTTACGCGCGTGCGCGGGAGCACACAAACTATACCGGACAGTAATTCGAGCTCCGATAAGCTCAGACCGTGTAATCTCTCTCAGGCGGGCACGATAGAAAAGCAAAAAACAAAACTTAAGCGTTGATAAAATACAAATTTCGAAATGCAGTGGAAAAACATACTACATTTGTATTCACGGGAAATTACTGACTCTACCATAAACTCCTGGAACTGGGATAAAGAATTCAAAAATTAATTAGAAGAAAATCCTTTTTCTCAGCGCGCGGCTTTTGGTTTTACCTTATTATTTTTACCTTAAGGAGAGAAGCAAATAATACTTTTCAGAAAAATTTTGCGAAAAATTATTCATAACCCGAGTTTTTATGGTCAATTCAAATATCTGAAATCGCAGATTTTAACAGTCTATAAAGTATTTTTAGTTCGTCGTCTACATAGTTTATATAAGTAGATGCATATAAGTGTTATAAGTGCCCGTACATCAATAAATGCTCGACTGTAAAACAACAAGTAATTTTTAGCAAAAAATAAAACCGACTTCATATATATATATTTCCTGATCCAAGAATCGGATCTAAACCATATTAGAATGGGACTACCTCTGAGACACTACCTACCTACCGATGCAAAAAGAATTATCGAAATCGGTCGTGGTCGAACGTGGTCCAAAGTTATGCGGTAATATACATAAAAAAAATATTCCGACGAAATGATAACATTTGTAAGTCGGTTAAAAATAAGCTCTTCATTCTAGCTACTACTAGTATTATTTAACTCTTTTAAGCTCTTTTTTCGACCGATTTAGCTCCCAACGATATTAATTTCTGGCAACATTGGCTCTCACATGTCCCGGGTTGATCTTGCCATAGAGACGGATTGCCGTATTTTCCATGAAGATGATTGTCCAGCATTAGCCAGATTGAGACTTAATGCTTTAGTTCTTCCACAATCGACACCTTTAAGGTTGGGAATTCGTCGAACCTAGAAACTTTTTAGCAGGGTTAGAAGCATCATAGGGCTAGAAAAAATCTTCTAGGTCGCATTGCACCCAACAAATTTACATTCCATTATAGTATTACATCACAAACAAATTAAGATTTATTTTAAAATTTTGTAATTATCACAGCTGACTTAAAAAAAAAAATACTTTTTTGCGCACATATTTTTTAATATTTAATCCTGAAATAGATATGTACATTTTAAAAGGCTTTTTTACAACAATTCAATAATCAATTTCATAAACTGTGCTATTACTAGTTGGACCTTTCTTCACTTTGATATTACAATTAAAGCAAGTAGCTACTTCGTTATCCTGATCGACGAGGTCGATTTCCACTTTAACGCTGATCTCTGGATAATTGCCAATTGGAAACACAAACTGATAGGTGACATCCTCTGTGGCATAGAGTGGACAATAGGCGCCGTATAGGAGATTAGAGCAAACATCGCGTACATCATCGGGTAATTCATAAGGTACGGTTAACCCGAAGGTGGTAGCCTTCACCAGTGTTGTCAATTTCGTCACATATTTTTCTGTAGTGGATCGTAATGACGTACATTATAGGTTTGCGAAAAAATCATGACATATTTTCAAAGTGGTATTGTCTTACCCACATAGAAGTCTATTTCGAAAATCATATCAGCGCCTTTGATAACATCGCACGGTGGTACCTCACAATTCAGCACACGAACCTCCAATGGAAAGGGTTTATTGTCAGAGCCTTACGATGGTGAGGGAGGAGAAATAATTTGAATGATTTGTTATATATTTTCCAGGTATGTTTTTTAAAGTATTTAAATAAAGTTAATATTTAAATTAAAACTTTTTGTATTCATTTCCGCTTCCTTACATTTTTTAACTTCAGTAGCTGCGGCAATGGCTAGGATAAGCGAGAATAGACCGAGTTTTTTCAACATATTGTAATAAGGTTTCAATTATTTAATGAACCGTTTATGGCTGATAAAATATAGTACTACCCAAATGCACTTAGCTTAACTTTTGTTACCATTAACTTAGCGAAAGTTCTTTTTATACGTGACCTACTACTTATTACACTTGAATTTAATCTTATCGCTTGCTAACTTGCTTAGGGAGAGTGTACGCTTTTTCGTTTTTTTGTTTGTTTATTTCTTTATTGGCCATGAGAAAGATTTGATCAATATAAGCTTTCTGGAATAATAAAAACGCCCTTCGTTGATGAAGGCTAATACGACCAGTGGCCAACTAAATAATTATAGAGAACAAAATCCCAAAAAAATGGCGCGCTAGAGGAAATGCCAGGTGAAAGCCAAGTCCTTTTTTAGCTGGTCTATCCATCGCAAAGCGTAATTTTCGTTCGTCGTGCGAGAAGTGCCGCTGTATGATTCTGTTATTGGTATTTGTAAACTCTTGTAAAATATTTTACTTGAGCGGTTCAGTTCTGCAGCTCTTATTATTCTCTCCATTCGACATTGCAATTGATGGCTTGATCGAATTTCCCGACATGCCTGAAGAAGTTCTTAATTCCGCAAATCTCAAAATCTGTATCAACTATAAAATAAATCCTTGCGATATGTATTCCCTGTGGTCATGTAAATTTTGTTATAATTCTTCAAATATTGAAAATTGCCGTGAATTTCAGGTAAATATTCAAAGTTTTAATTTTTAAAATAGTAAATGGCAAAATACGCAATTTTCGCAATTTACTCGAACTTTTGATGGTGTACGAGTCAAACGGACCTGAGATTTGGATTAATCGGGTCGAAATACATGTCGGTAGGTGGGTATCGTTAAAAGCACGCACCATTTTTTGTTGTGTGCCGGTGTATTTCCCCCCCCCCCCCCCCCACCCCCCCCCCGCCCCCCCCCCCAACCCTTCCCCCCCCCCTCCGCCCCCCCCCCCCCCCCCCCTCCCCCCCCATGCAAATCTGATGAGCACGATCGACCAAGCTCTATCTAAACTTGCCGTCGTTGTTGCCAATCGAGCTGCCATCATAACCTTAGAGTCGGCAACGACTAACTCCATATGCGTTAAGGAATGCCGAAGATCCCTACAAGATCTATAGCAACACATAATCAATCTTTACCGAGTCCCGAGAGTGCTATGCCGAGAAATTAGGAAGCGGGCGAATGTGCAAGAAAGGGATCTGGGATGGAACTTGGAAAAGCGATCCAGATCGTAAAACACTCCCTGTGATTTCTGTCTTCAGAAGTTGGGAGAGTGACCAGGGTAGCCACCAACAGTAGGTTTAAAAATGTGCATACCTGCATAGAATCGCGCTCGCTCTGGCCCCAGTACGAGGAACGAAGAACACGGAGTTTATTAAGGCTTTCAAAGCCAAATGTTAGGCAGGACATTGGGCGAATCCGTCCTACACTTCTTTTGCTTTTGTTTTAGGTAGCGTATAGCTGGTCGTACCAATTGTTTTTGCTAAAGCAAGCTCCTTTACTTTCTGCCAAGGCTCACGTCTGCACACTTTCAAAATAATTTTAGTTGCCTTTTTTCGAAATTCCAGATATGTATATGCAATCGACATGGCGGCAAAGCTGATGAGCACGATCGACCTAGCTCTATCTAAACTTGTCTTCGTTGTTGCCAATCGAGCTGCCATCAAAACCTTAGAGTCGGCAACGACTAACTCCATATGCGTTAAGGAATGCCGAAGATCCCTATAAAATCTATAGCAACACATAATCAATCTTTACTGAGGCCCAAGACATAGTGCTATGACGAGAAATGAGGAAGCGGACGAATATGCTAGAAAGGGATCTGGGATGTGACTTGGAAAAACGATCCAGATCGTAAAACCTTTTCTGTGATTTCTGTCTTCAAAAGTTGGGAGAGTGACCAGGGCAGCCACCAACAGTAGGTGGAAAAATGTGCACACCTGCATAGCATCGTGCTCGCCCTGGCCACAGTGGGACCTACGAAGAACACGGAGTTTATTAAGGCTTTCAAAGCCAAATGTTGGCCGAGATGCTGGGCGAATCCGTCCTGCACTTCCTTTCCGAGTGTCCAGCACTCCGAGGAAAATGCCTCAACATTCTTGGGGAGCCTTGGGAAAGCTCCACTGCAAGAAGGTATAGTATTCGCTAGAGAATCAAAATGGTTCAAAGACATGTAGAGATAGGCATGGGAAACCCTCTGAGCATCCCGATGGGTCTTTGTGGCCTCCGAGTGAACTCGTTTGAGAGCTTCCCGCTTAACCTAATGTTTTAATATCAATCAGATTTTCCTGGAAGTTATGACATGAATGAACTTCTATGTCGGATCTGCGGACAAGTTATGTTCGTGGAATTTGTGTCAGTTCCCATGCATTGCGCCCAATCGCAGCGTGGCCTTGTAGGTAGCCTATATCTTTTCTGTGGTGGCGTGACATTGCTGGTCGTACCACTTGATATTGCTAAAGCTCTATTACTTTCTGCCAAGGCTCAAGGCTGCACACGTTCAAAATAATTTTAGTTGCTTTTTTCGAAATTCCGGAGATATGCCCGTACATACAAAGTGTAACTATGTATGTGTGACTATATTTTTTGCTAACTGCTCGTTTATATGAGATTTTAAAAGAGCATTTCAATACGCTAGGGAACGCCATAAAGTATCATTCAATACGCTAAGCGGATATGTAAAAGCATCTGTAAGTATGTATAAGTATAGAAAAAAGTTCGTGAACACACTTGTGAAGAGGGAGAACGGCTGTGTACTACTTATTTGCTGACTGAACTTTCGTTTAGCTTCACACAGTCGAAGATTTTCTGCACAAATAGGTAAGTATTTTTATATTAGCCGCAACAATGTCGCACATGTGCGTACACAGTGACAAACGCACATACATATGTACTCGTATGCACGTATAGATAACATTTTGAACCATTGGCAGATGCATATCAGAGGGCGTTACATCAATCGATGCGAATTTTTGTGATTTTTTTTAATCAAATATTTTTGCTTCATTGATGTCTTCTTCAGTTCAGTTCATCAAATCAATGTGAATGCGTTCAACAGTTTGCTGATCTTTAATTCTCATTTTCATTCTTAATGGAATTTAACTAATCCGATTCACATGAGCTCGCTCTTTGACATATTAAATAATGTCACAACAAAGATAAATTCAATATAGTATGTATGTATGTAGGTATGTACATATGTCCGTATGCATTCATCGCCCATTTCACAGGTGACAAATTGTGAAAAATTACATTGAATTGTTGAGCGAGTGTGTAAATTTGTGTAGTTTGTGTGTGCGTTAGTGAAAATCTAGGAGGCTACACGCTGCAATTGCGCTGAATGTGATGAATTACGGTCCATCAGACAAGAGTCTCGAAAAAATTGCTCGCATAGTAATAGCCGTGTAAGGGGAGAGGGTATAGAAAAGAAAGGTGGAAAACGTTGACACACGGCGAATTAAAGTGTGCAACATATGTACATTTGTTTTTATGCGTGTATGTATGAAGCTAAGGGAACTTTCAGTGGGTGGGTTTCATGTTCGTGTTACTGACTTAATGAAATACCCTATTGGAAATAAGACACATCGTCAAAACACAACAGATATTACATATTTAGAAACTAGTATCGCCCAGTTGTCGAAGTTCGACATCTTATTTCATACACTTTTCAATTTTGCTTGTTACGAATATTGACTTCTTTAAGCGAATGACGTTTTTCAAGTCCACCACCAAATTTTATAGCGAATTTAGATGACAACTTAGAACCAAGCTTAGCTTAGAAGCTTTTGAAATTATCCGAGAAAGGAACCTCAATTTTCATTTATAAAAAATATGCATATGTATTTGTATGTAAAGATGAGATACCTAACGGTTCCTAACTGACTAATATGTTAAACAAATACCAATACAGGCTGTAAATACGTTTTTCGATGTATTTGCATCACACGATTCGGATACCAAGTTCCACCAAATTTTACGTTGCTGTTATGGGTGTGATGAAACAAATCACACCATAAATTTTAAGGATAGCTCTCAACCAGAGATGGGCGAGGGATATCGGGACCCACGGTAATGATTTAAAAATACGGGCGAGACGGGACCAAAATCCTTTCCCGATACTCTCGATAAAACCGCAACTTCCGCAAATTCTGAAAATCTTCCTTAAACATTTTTTTTTAAATATACACTTTTTATGTTTTATTGAGACGAAAACGAACAGCAAAGAAAAACAAAATAGTCGGAGGACGCCAGATCTTTCATAAATTTTGTGTTATTTCAAATTAATTTTAAATACGATATATGACTGTTCTTAGAGATAGATTTCGGAACTTAAAAGTTGAGATTCTGAGATGGACGGGAGCGGGATTTAATACTTAGTCCCATGCCCATCTCTACTCTCAATCCCTGCGGCTCCTAACGGAAGACAATTACTCGAATTCATTTAAAAATCATTACGCAAAATAGCAATCATTCATTACGATTTAGAAGTCTGGTAGAAAATGGAAATTGAATGATTCTTGCCATTTTATATTTACAGTGGTGGAAGAAATAACATAAACTTTTATTTTGAGCAGTTTTGGCTATAATTTCTCTTATTTATTCGATGTTTCATATTCTTTTATAAGGAGGAGGTCATTAGTTCGTCGGAATATTTTTATGTTATTTTTTATTTTTTATGTATATTACCGCATAACTTTGGACCACATCGATCGAGTTCGATCGGAAAGGCAGTGTTTCAGAGGTGGTCCCATATATATATATATGTATGAGAATTTGTTTTTGGCTTAAAAATTACTTGTTTATATTTTTTTTGGCTGACGGTGTTGTGCATTTTCTTACATTTAAAGTATGTTCGACTATGCTCGAAACTCTTTTTTATATGGAAGAAAATGCCTAGCAGCGTCAGCAAAAAAATATTAAAAATCAACGCCATTTTCTAGCGTCTTGAAATTTGCACTTTACCTACTAAAATATAATAAGCTATAAAATTAAAAAAAAAAATCTGATTAAAAAGTT